GGAGATGGTTAGGCGGTCCCGAACCGAGGCACACGGCCTGACGGCTCCGAAAACCGGGAACCGGACTCCGAAATGGGCAAAATGGCCTACGACCACAAAATGTAGCCCACGGCCACTGAGAGATGGTCTACAAGACCTCTCCCTTCCATTAGGAAAAGAAACCGAGAAAACCGAGCCTGGTTCGCAAACCGAGGCAAAGTACAAAAGAGGTTCGGAAGTCCGGAGGCAAGGCTCACGGCCGCAACTCTGAAACTTCTGAACGAGCACATTATGCAACATCACCAAGCGCTCAATCGATGACGTCTGAGTCTTAAGGTCGGTCAAAAATAGGGTGTCTACATATAGTTTGTACAAAAAAGAAACGAAAGAAAAAGAAAAAAAACAAAAACAAAAACAAAGTATGGTTAAACTAACATATGGGAAGGGATTATGTTATTCTTCAATGCAATTGTTTTGGACAAGAACAAGGAACAGATTATGACTTCAAATATTCACTAGATCAAGCATGACATAGTTTATGGTCTCAAGACCAAGTTGGACCAAGATGGATTATTAGGTCAGTGCCTATACAGTTAAAGCTCCTACCAAACCTTAGCCTTGCAACAACAATGCTGCAAATATTCAAATCATACCATTTTGTCTCATAAACTTTCATTCCAATATTTCCAAACTTAAAAACAGGTGATCTAGTCCTAATCATTTACATTCATAATCATTTACATTGTTCATTTTTAGTGCTAAAGATTCATAACACATGAGCCTTAGACAAGTAATCATTAACAGGAAAACACTTATATTTAACATTAGAAAATTCTTACATGTCTAATTTCAGCTTCATTATGGACCCATGCTTGCCTTTTCTGACTAAAGTGTGTCTTGTGATACAAATCAACAAGTCCAAGCTCCTTTCCATCCTTGTCTCGCTGTCAAAACCTTTATAGTTAGTATCCTATGGAGTACATACATCACCAAATAAAAGAAATAAAAAAAGTGCCACGTAGACCTTATGATTTAAAGGTCAGTTGTTTACCTCATCATATTGCACCTTTCTAAATGCCTTTGAGCCAGCTGTATGGAGGACTTTAAGCTCAAACCGATTTTCCTTGTTTTTCTGACATTTCTCCTGCATGAAGTGTAAAAATATATTCAGAAGAAATCGAGTCCATGTGCCCAAATGCTTAGTAACAGCAGTAGCTACATGCATAGCAACAGCCTCCGCCACAGCAGCAGCTGTAGCATCATCAGCAGCCCAGTACAAGCAGCCTACACAAGAGCTGCAGCCTCACCACAAGTGTGTGCAAGTGCATTACAAGTGTGTTCAACAATTACCTGGTATGTCTTATCATTCCATAATTGACACAGGTATCGCCACACCTTTTTTTCGATATCTTCATGTGGGTTTGCAAGGGCTGATTCCATCGTAGGGAAACTTCTAAAATGTTGGCGTAGATTAAAGCGGTAGGTCTTGTACCGGAGTTTCATCATTCCAAGGATAGAAGCAATAGCGTAAGGTTCATTACTAAAAATGAAACCTTCCTGCCATACCAATAAAATTAAACACTTCAAAACATTAAGCAACATAATTCATAAACTAAAAGGGAATATTAAACTAGACTAAAAAAAACACTATCTTACTCGAAGGTATGCAATTAGCGTTTCTTTATCCTCAGGGCTAATAAAACTCCACTTCGGCACATTTTGTGGGGCAAATTGCCTAGTGACGATCCCCTACTCGGTGGTGAATTTATCAGACCATGGTCCCAATGGATTCCCAGTAATCCTACAAATTTCAACATCCAATCGCTTCCCTTGACTTTTTATCTTGAGTAATGCAAGGCTTCGTGACTTCCCACGTCCTTTCTTACGCTCTGTTGTATCTATTAAAAACAACATATAGAAAAAACACATCAATGTCCAACATATGCATTGGATGAAAAGAATAAACAACCAACCGAAAAAGAATATAAAACTAAAATATTTACAAACCTACCAGCAATACAACAATCCGTGCTAGAAGTATCCAAGTATGAGGCTTGTGATGTAACTTCATGCATAGATGTCGATGCTGATGCAGCTGCAGATGTTGATGCAGATGTTGTTGGGGGCACAAACTTTGACGTAAATGAAGGAATTGACTGAATAGATGTGGATGCAAAAGATGTAGCTGCTAATTTGTTGGGCACATAGCCTCCCTGTCCTCTACCTCTAAAAATCAATAACAAGAACAATAAAATGGTTTCAGCTGTCTTACATAGAAATGTCTAGTGTATCTATATGATGATCTTAGTAGGTTTAGTAATATAAAATGGTTTCAGCTGTCTTACATAGAAATGAAGTTTTTGAACAAATTTTGCAGCCTCCTACTTAGATGAAAAAGATAAACTCTACATTTTCCTGCTCTATTTTCCAATTCTATTGCTAACTTCCAAAACTTTGGACTGAATCTCCTATATCTTTATCATAACACTTGAGCTGGTGCTTCATCCTTGTGATCAGCTGTAACTATAATTGAGTAAGATTACAGCTATCACATGTGGGTCCACTTTCATTTAGAATAAATTTAATTTATACATTTTTAAATTATGAATACTTTTCAAATGAAAATTCTGAATACATAACATTACTTTACTATATCAAATTCCAAATGAAATACAAAGGCCAGGTCTGTGCAGGAAATTAGTGTTGCAAAGCCACTTCAGCTGTCTTTTTTTTTCTGCCATACCTTTCTTGGCGAAGTTTTTCTGCCATAGGATCCAGTGGCACTTCCTTCACTACTTCAAGAATTTTTCCCTTCTGTACACTCGCTTTTGCATTTGTCTTCTTGAGGACCTTTTCTGCAGTAGCTGCAGGTGCAGGTGCCTGAACATATCACATGAAAAACAACAAAAGCCAAGTGAGGATAATAAATAACAAAACAGCAACAAATAATACATACAATGCCATTACAATTCATATGAATTCTGAAATGCTGAAAACAAAAACAGATCCATTTATTTTCTTAGGTTATCAACTGTTGTTGGCTACAAGTACGTCTTCCAATTGGCCTTTATTGATAGTACCTTAGCAGCAACAGATTCCGTTGCACGCTTCCTCCATAAATCAGCTTTTCGAGTTTCAAATTCCTCTCTACTCATGATGGGGGGTCCAGGATTGATGCCCATCCTAAAATCCGCAAGATCCCTAAAATCCGCAAGAAAATTAGTCAAATTGTTTTGAAAAAGGATAACATTACATGAAAGGCTGAATAGATGATAAAAAAAAATGTAAAGCCCATTTCATTGCTGATAGTCAAATGATCATACATCATAACAATTATTGAACCATAAAAGCTTCAAATGACAAATATGATAACGTTGGAAACAAGACAAAGTATTAAAATGAAATAAGCAACAAAACAAAGCACACTTTTTTTGACAAGAAAACTTGAAATGGAAATAAGCAATAGCAATTATAAATCTTACATGATGTTAAAATGGAAATCATTTGGAAACACGACAAAATATTCATCGATAGATATAATCTTCATCAATTTCATCTTCCGGATCACTATCATCATCAATCATATCATCATCAACTTGATCATCCATGTTAGTGTCATCATCATCCGCATTATTATCATTAATGAGCACTTCATCATCAACTTCAAGTTCCTCCTCGTGAAATTCGCCAGTAATGTCAACACATATCATTTCCATGTCTTCTTTGCATAATTCTATGGGTTGATCATCAATCTGCACCACATCCCCAAGTCCATACGACTCAAATTGTTGGTATGGTTCATCTTTGTCTTTGTCTTCCTCTTCCGCTTCCTCTTCATCCTCTTTCACTAAGATGTCATAAATAGCCCGTGGTAATACTCTTTGTACAACTCGATAATTATTGGCCCACTTCGTATCTTTCAAATAAAACACTTGTTCCGCTTGGCATGCTAACACAAATGGTTCATCTTTGTACCAAGTCTTCGTAACATTTACACTAATGTAGTTAAACTCATCAACTTTTATTCCAATTTTTTCGTTACCAACATCCCACCAATTACACTTAAAAAGAAACACACTATTCCCACCTAGATATTTCAACTCAATTATCTCTCTAATAACACCATAAAAATCAATAGGTTTCCCTTTATGATCTCCCTTCACAACCACGCCAATATTTTGAGTTTTTCGGTACATGTCACAATCTTGAGTGCGAAACCGAATCCCGTTGATGATACAACCATTGTAGCGTGTCACTCGGTAATCAGGACCTCGAGCTAAGTTCATAAGTTGATTGGAAGCATCCATTGTCCCTTCAACTTGCAGCTTTGTGACCTAATTCCATTGTTAATATGAAATGCATTAGCATACACTTAAATTCATTATTTCAATACACAAATAATGTTCAAAAATTATAACCCTTACGTATTTTAGAAACCATGTATGGAACTCTGATTCTAGCCTCTCTTGCATATTTGTCAAACCTTGTCCTTCAAGTTCATCCATGTATTGCCTATAAATTATAACAACATTATTCGACACAAATGGTTGTGAAAAGTAGAGCAATAGGAAGCAATCTTTGCAAGATAACATGGCAATCATGGCTTTTCAACCCCGTAATTCGACAGTCACTAGTGTTCACACAATGTGATATGTTTGATGCATAGCCATCTGGCAATTTAATTGAACTCAAGAATTCACAAAAGTTCCTCTTTTCAGTTGGAGACAACATGAAGCAAGCAGGAGGTAGGAATGTTTGGCCATGTACTTCCCTTGGATGTAATTCATGCCTTATACCCATATCCATTAGATCAAGACGAGCCTTGTATGTGTCCTTGGTTTTTCCATCAATGTTCATTAATGTTCCTAGAACACTATCACATACATTTTTTTCAATGTGCATAACATCAAGGTTGTGACGAACTTTGAGGGTTTTCCAATAAGGTAAATCAAAGAAAATGCTCCTCCTTGTCCAATTTAAATATTGAGGAGAACGTTTTTGCTTCTTCCCATGTTGATCTATTTTCCCAAATAATGATGGGTCTATATGCCCCAATTGACCCAAGACCTCCTCTCCTGACAACAACTTAGGTTCTAACCTAAGCTCTGGCTCACCATTGAATGACTTGCTTGTTCTCAAAAAATGATCATGAGGCAAAAAATGATGATGTCCCATGTAACAAGTTTTTCTACAACGATGAAAGTATTGGTGAGATGCATTCTCATTGCATGACGGACAAGCCAATTTGCCTTTGGTGCTCCAACCGGATAAATTACCATACGCAGGAAAGTCATTGATAGTCCATAATAATGCCGCGCGCAATTGAAAATTAGAGTCACTTGATGCATCGTAGGTCTCTACCCCTACCTCCCATAACTCATTTAGCTCATCTATTAGCGGTCGTAAAAACACATCAACGTCAAATCCAGGAGCTCTACGCCCAGGAATAAGTAAAGGCATCATAAAAAATGGATCTTTCATGCATTTCCAGGGTGGCAAATTGTACGGGACAATAAAAACTGGCCATATGCTATATGAGGTACTCATATTCCCAAATGGATTGAAGCCGTCACTTGCTAATCCGAGCCTAACATTTCGAGGATCTTTGGCGAATGACTCATGCTTTTTGTCAAAGTCTTTCCATGCTTCAGAGTCCGCCGGATGGCGTATTACATTTTTCTCCTCTACGCGTTTATCTTTGTGCCACCTCATATCAGTAGCTGTCTTCCTTGATATAAATAACCTTTGTAGCCTTGGTTTTAAAGGAAAGTACCGCAAAACCTTGTGAGGGATCTTTTTACCTTTACCTTCACCTTTATGAAATTTGTATTTAGGCTCCATGCAAGTAGGGCATTTATCTTCATTTTCATACTCCTTCCAAAAAAGTACACAATCGTTCTTGCATACATGTATTTTTTGATAATCAAGGCCCAAATCTCGAAGTATTTGTTTAACTTCATTGTATGAGCATGGAAGTGTTTCACCGATGGGAAGTGCATCCTTCAACAGTTCTAGCATCATCGTGAGTGATTTGTTGCTCCATTTATTGAGCACCTTTATATGTAGCAGCTTAACAATGAATGATAATTTGGAATATCGCTGGCAATTCGGATACAATTCTTGTTCTGCATCCCTCATTAATCTTGCAAATGTATTTCCTTTACTACCATGAGCACCAGACAAGTCAGGATTACGACTACTAGATGCTTCCCCAGTATAAGCATATGTGGATGGCCCACTATGTATGTCATGGACAATTTCTCGCACCTCAGTATTGGGAGAATTTGATTTCTCTGTCACATCATTGAAATATTCGTCATTTTCATTTTCCGAGGGATCACTATCATTCAACTCAAAATCTTCCCCATGATACACCCACCTAGTGTAAGTTGTGACAACCCCATATGCAAACAAATGAATTTCAACTTCATCTATGGTTTTTTGGATACGGTTGTTGCATCTATTACACGAACACCAAATCTTACTCGTCCTTGATTTCATATGATCACGAGCAAATATGATAAATTCTTTTACCCCATCAATGTATTGATGTAACCTTCTATTATGAAGTTGCATCCAACTCCTATCCATCCAGAAATCCCTATTACAGAGTACACAAAGACATTATCCTTCAATTCCAATATCTTGTTACTTTCTATATGTGGTCTTAAATGAGGAACACAACTAAATTCTTGAAGACGTTTCACTAATATGTATATCTACTTTTGACTATGTGATTCATATCTATGTTTTGACAAACAAAAATTCAAGGATGTATTGCCAAGGCACACCACATAAAACAAAAGCAAAAACAAAAGCAAAAGCAAAACATCAGGACACATAATAACATTGATAACAATCATATCCTCATTGATAACATTTCTTACTGTTGCAGCTGATCGAAGTCCACGAAAAATGACTTTTAATTACTCTATAAATAAAGCAACCATCACATGGGCAGTGTAGGGCAAAAGCTCACACCTTTCAGGTTAAATCTTTCTATCTCATACATTAAGAGTGTGAGTAATGAATTTACATCATACATTAATTTTTATATAACTTTTGTTATTCATATTTCTATACACAAAAACATTACTGATTAAGTATATTTTTTATTTAATAAGTGGGTACTTATTTATTTATTTACTTTGTACTTGTTTGTTTGGAGTTTAGTTGTTGGGAATGAGCTGGGGGGAGAGGGGGCTTTGCTTAAAAACAAAGAGAAAATGTTACCAAGAAAATGCTGTCTATATTTAAATAATCATGTTCTTCCTATCATTCACAGACCTTTTCATTATGTTTTATATGAGCATCTATCAAATTGTTTTAAATTGTTTATGAGCATCTATATTTATGAGCATCTATATAGAAAATGCTGTCTATATAGAAAAATTTCCTTTTCCAAAACAGATCACCTATCAAATTGTGTCAATTTCTATTTTATCTGATTTTTTTTTTATAAAAAAAAAAAACAAAAATGACGCCAAACACGCTAATTTTGGTAATAGATAAATGTACAAGTTGCTCTGATTTTTTGAATCACAATTATGACATTTAGCTTATTGTTGGAGACTTGTTCAACATTATTTTTCTAATTATTTGTGAAGATCAAACGATTGACTTGGTAAATGAGGCGCTCCCTTATTAAGTGTGGTATCTAAATTCGAGTGCACTATGCTATTTTCCATTTCTTATTCTTCTTATTGAGTGTAAATTATTATAAAAAATAAAAAATTAGATAAGAGTTTTTGCCCCTCCCACCATGCAAGTATTCCATTATCCATTAAGAAGCTGCCAAAAAAGAGTCAGCCCTACCATGCATGCACAGATTCCACTTTCTTTCTCATTTTTGGGTCCCCAATTCTTTTTATCATTGTCCTTGTGATTACCTTAGAAAATAAAAGAACCAAAAGTGGATCCAAATATACAACCTTTGCCTGGAAAAAGGGTTGTAATCTCTGTAAAAGATGAGTCCACTTTGTTCTGCCCTGAAAATGAAAAAAAAAGTGTCTTCAAACTGAATTAAAATTACTCAAGTAACAGTTATTTGATTCGGCATAATGTCATTGCTAGGGTGGTTGTGAAAGGGCTTTATTTTCCCTTCAATTAATTGGATCAGAAAATAAATGAATCCAATATTGCATGGCTCATGTTGATAGATCCACTTAAGTTATTAGAAGCTCTTTTTTTTCACAAATCCTTTTCATTTTTTTTTTCTTTACACAAATCCTTTTACAAATTTAATGTCCAATTTATGTTGCCTTTTAAGGGTTTATTTGACATGTTTAACTATTTATTTATGTATCATTTATTGGAAAATGATGAGCAAAAAATTCCATGGAGAGCCAAACAGTGCTGTCCATTTTTATTATATTTGGTAGACTATTCTTGCAATCTTTGATTACTCTTAAAAATTTGTTTGTAGAGAATTTTTCCCAAAACTTTTTCTGAAAAATAAACCAAACAAGCCCTATGGATAAAATTAAATAAGAAAATGAAAGACTAACTATCCAACTCTCTTAGTGTTTCATGTTACTTTATCAAAGTCTATCAGTAAGTTTTCATACGGCCTTTATGTTTGATTCCAAATTATCTGCCAAATCTTGATATTTTTTTACCATACTTCTCTTTTCTTTTCTGCTTTCCATTCCCTACAAGTCACTTCCATTTTGGAACTTTGGTTCACACATGAACCAAGGTTTGAAACCTGTACTTTCTAGGCTTGAAATCATATAAGCTTTACGTGTACTTTACATTGTAATTTATTGTATATGTTGTTATATTCTTTTCAATCTCTCTTTTTTATTTCTAAATTCATGTTCATTGGCTCTTAATCTCCGTACATTTTCGTTATTGTTCTTCTTTGTCACTACGGTTGTGCTTATTTTTGCTACTTTTGTGATCACTGTGAACTTTTCTCCTATCAGTCCCTTCATTTCAACTAGATTATAATGTCATTACTTTGTTAATTTCAAAACATTTCTCACATTATTGGAGGTAGACCCCATTTTGTCCTTGGAATGATTAATCAAAATTCCACACAAGGATGAGAAAAGTCCATGAAAGGCAGATTGAGGAAATTCCAACAATGCTCCTATTCAATTATATGTACCAAGTTCAGAATCACAAAAATAAAGATCTTTTCTAGTTCAAAGCGAAGTTGAAAATGTGAAATCACTGGTAATTTTCAAGATGATTGTGCTCTCTCCACACTGACTAGAAATACAACTTGAGTAATTTTTAAGCTTCAATGATATTTCATGTTATATTAGAGTTTGGCATTACTTTTATTTATTTATTTATTTGGGGAAATCAGATCCTTGTCAAGGATCTTCACCTCTCCCCGAAGATGTTCCAGCCAATTTACACATCGTGAAGCCTGGGTACGGTTTTCAGTGTGTATTTGCATCAGGTGAGGTTTTGTAATTTTTCATTATTTGGTCCCTAAAAATGCCAATAATATGTGTTGACCACCAAAATTATTGGTCTCAAAAAGTTACACAGCGTAACAGGAAATATCAAGAGTCATTTTGATAGTTTTATGAGTAAATTATCACAAGTTTAGTTTTGTCTCTAAAAGATTATTTTTAGGGACTAAATTTAATTAGTCCTTAAATATTAGTTGCTAAAAGACTAATTTCTTGTAGTGCCTGGTCGCCTCGTTCGGAAATCCGTCGCGATACACCAACTTGCCTCTGTTTTCAATTGTTTTCAGAACCTTGCACCAAGCTCTAGAAAGCTGAAACTCCATCATGGGAACCTATGGGAGGGCTGCCAACCAGTTGTTGGCATTGGAGACCACCTGCCGACCACTTTCTGTGCTGAAAAACCAGAAAAAGTGGTCGGCCAACTAGTAATACAGGTCGGCCGACCAGTTGTTGCTGTTGAATTCCAGTTTGCTGCAACAGAGAGCAAGAAAAGGCATGGCAATGTATTTGCAAGGTATGTGTGCACAACCACCTTCCCTATCATTACACAAGATCAAGGGAGTGCGGTTCTCGACCCTCGGGCCACCAATCACGCATCTCGATGCATGATGGCCGAGAAGCCAAGTTGCACAATTCAATATAAAATGAATGCACAAGTAAACACATAAAGCCTAAAACTCTATCATGTATGATCAAGAGCGTCAGCGACCGAGAATTGAGGCACGTTTCATCACTTCAAGTATGAAACGTCCCTCGTTTCTCGTGCTCAGATTAACACTTAATCCCAACAACAATGCAACAAGTAACATGACATACTCAATGCAATGCAACTCAAGCATGCAAACATGCAAATGCAACTACATGGCAACAACATGGAATGAAGGGCATGCAAAACATGATGCAACTACATGGCATACACAATGCAATAAACAACATGGCATATACAATGCAAACAACAACATGGCATACTCAATGCAATGTGACATGATCAACTTAACAAAGCTAAGAGCACGCAAATAATGCTAATGCATGCATGCACAATGCAATGTAACAAAGGCAACTATATGCAATACACCAAGCATGCAACAACATGCAAACCACATACTCAATGGACTTAAACCAAAATGGAAAGACCTCAGTCATGCCAAAACAGTGGCCATAATGCTAAAATGAAGGCACCAAAAACACATCCAAATATGCATGCCAATTGGCTTACCAATTAAGGCACTAAGTTGCAACTCTCAAGAGTACTTAAATAGTGAAAAACATGGAAGTGTAACAACACTAAGTGCACTGAAATTGAGCAAGAAATAATGCCAAATCATTCAAACAACACAAGTATGGCATGGTAGGGTCCTTAAAGCATGAAGCTATCAAAGAGGACTACAAAGGGGGCATGCAATACAAGGAACAAATGCATGAACCAATCATGGACTGAGCTTAAATAGGTCTTAACAAAGACCAAAATATGCTGAGATGAGGGCTTAAAGGCCTAGGCATGCAAGCATACACACTAAGCCACAAACTAGACAACAATGCACAACACTCAAAGGCACTTAAAGTATGAATGAAGTGGGGGCAGTCCAATATGCTCTGAAATGTCATGGAAAATGATGCCAAATCAAGTACATGATAGAAATGAAACATGTTATGAAGTCCAAAGCTTGAAGCTAACAAGAGCACTTGCACTATAGCAATGCAAAACATGAAGCATATGGCTAAGTCAACCCAAAACAGTCCTAGAACATGTCAAAATGAGTCTAAAACATGCATGGAAGGAAGCTAAAACAAGCTAGCGTAAAGGGCATAAGGCATGATGCATACAAGGCAACTAAGGTGGATTACACTACACCTATTAAGACCAAGCATGGGATGACTTAATAACCAACAAAAATCAGAGTTATATCATGGCATAATAACCCCAAAAAACACATTGAAATGATAGCTCGCAAGCTTAGGCATGAAGGCATACACAATGACCCATGTTTAAGGCATAAAGGACCAACCCTCCAACGCATTGAATAAGTGAAAAATGTGAGTGTATGACCATGAAACATGGACTAAAATCACATAACAAATGATGCCAAATCATTCAAATAGGTCAAGCAATGCATGCTAGTGGACTCAATACTCAAAGCGAACAAGCTAGAATGCACTATAGCT